ATTCAAGAATGCTTCTGTGAGTTTTCTGATATTTCTTTCTACTTAAAATATTCTATCTAATTATACTATTAGAACTGGTAAGACCTAGGCATATACACAGAGTAGGAGTGTCACTAAATAAGATAAAAATGTTCAAAAATTGAGCACATTTGTGTTTGAAAATGAAGATATCCTATGTTATTGGACAGAAAACACCCAATTCAACCTATCTTGTATCATATTTTTTCAGTTATGAACCTCAAATATTATATTTTTTTAAAAAATATGATACTATGAATCAGATTATTGTTTTTGAAAATGAAAACAAAACTCCTTTCTCTATAAACAGTGACTTTTAACTTTTTCTTGAATATCAATATCTTATAGGAAATTTTTCTACAAGTTTTAAAATTCACATTCACTCACTAAGATATCTTCTTTAGTTTATTATTAAATAACAGTCCATAATTTAACCAGTCCATAAGTTATTTAAATAACAGATATATTATTTATAAATCTCTTCTCTGTCAATTAAAAACCCTTTCTAAATAGTGATACCTGAACTAAATACATGTGCAGCATTGTGGAGGAAGGGAAGGAATAATCTTAGCATATTTTCCACGATAAATATGGCTACAATCCAAAACCCTATTTTTGTAATGACATAAATAGCAGTAACTCATTGATATTTACTCTTGAGTTTATTTTCTTAGATTAGCACTCTGATATTCGGAGTCCTGGCTTTAGTCCATATATTGCCTCCCTTTTCTTACAAGAGACTAATTCATGCATTTTTCAAAGCTTAGGCCTGTGCATTAGAAAATATGGTACCATATTTATACGAGGAAAGAAATATTACAAAGTAACTTTATTAGAGCTTGATCATCTAATATGGATTGAATGTTGTTGTTGGGATGCAATGTGAAGAAGTTTGTGAAAACATTCCTTTCTATCCTGCACTGAGTCAAGGATGGACTAGAAGTGGGTTGCTGCACTAGGCAGTAAGTTGGGCCATATCACCTCTGAGATCCCTTCCAATCCTTACATTCTATGTATTCTATGAATATATTTGTGTTTAGAACTTGAAAAGTTCATATATATTTTCAAAACCAACTTATTAAAAGTATGATTGCCACAAAGTAAATTTAATAATATATTAAACAATCTAGTTCAGGGGTGTCAAACTGGCAGCCCACAGGCTGGATGCATCACATGCAGGCCACGTCCACCCCAGCTCCGCAAAGGCAAAAAATGGTGCGATACATCATGATAGGTCACATGACGCAAGTGAGTTTGACACCCATGATCTAGGTCATATAATCTGATATGAGCATGCACAAAATCACAAACAGCCATTTTGTCCAGCACTTCAGTAAAACACAGGTAGAAGCTGTCTTTCCCGCCAAAGGTGATTGGCTTCTGGCCATTACATCACATTGATGGAAGAGGTACAAGAAGTTGAACCTTGATCTCACTATAAATAGCAGTTGCATTTATATAACACTAATTAGAATCCTCTGATAATAGCTTCATTAGTTTTTCTACAATAAATCTATTTATCCCTGGCTGCTTGTTCAGTCTAATTTGCCAAGAGAATCATGGGAAAGGGGTGTTTAAGAGAGGAGGATATAATATATAGACTTGAACAAAGCTGGTTTAACCTTGTGGTTTAACTATATATGTGAGTTTAATTGTAAATTAAAAGACCAAAGTGTATGTCAAATAGTATGAAATAATGTTATCAAGAGTTTGTGAGTATATTTACAAACAGAAGTGAATGGCAGTAATGGAAGAGTCATAGATAAGTTATGGGAAAAATGGTATTAAAAAGTTTTTTTATTATGAATGTAATATAAATACATCCATGGAAAAATAAAGGCAAGTAACTTAGATAAACTTATTAATATAGCTGGAACGGCAAATAATACTGGGTTAAAAAAATATTCAGTTTTGTAATCTGTTTTCACAAAAAAAGATCAAGCTTCCTATTTCAATTCAATTCTGATGTATAATATGCATTTATTTTCACAGATTTTTATTTAGAAATCTTAAAATGTGGAGTTTCAGAAAGTCCACTTGGCCTTTCTAAGAAAGTTTCATAGTAAAAATGATTTCTTGCAGCTGAAGAGGCATAAAGCTAATTCACACTTGCAGTTTACAAGTCCACTAATCCACAATCAGATGAAGTGTGAACTCAGCTGCTCAGGAATAATTGTCCCCTAATCCTTAGCAATTTGCACTTCATTAATGAAGTGAGAATTAATCCTTACTACTATCCTGATGAATTGCACGAAGGGGTTGGGTTGCTCCAGTTCTGATGCCTCCATCCCAAATAATAGAGGTGGAGCTAACAGGATAATTTTAGCCTTTGTTGTTATACACTTTCTTTGTAAAAGAGAATATGCTTTGTAGAGAACATATTTGACTCACAATGTTCTAGGTATCTCACAGCAATGATTAGCACAAATACAGCATATACAAATAGAAAATAGAAGAAAAATATAGTCATTAAGGATAAGCAATATACTTCTTGACAATGTGTTAAATATGCTCATTTCTCTCCAAGGAACTGATGGTGAGATAATACTCCATTAACAAATGAAAAGAAGTGCTAGTATCTGACTGCTCCATTCATATAGCAATATCCTCAAAAACAGTGTGCAGGGACCAAATTCAGTAAATTTAACATAAGCAAAGCCCTGAAGTAAACAAGGAACTTTCTAATCAATAAGCAAATGAGCTTTTATCAATATTTTGATGGAGACTACAATTATTGTCATATGCAACTATTTCAATAGGCTTTAATGTTCTGTTATATTAGTCTTGTTTTTATTGTTACATTCTGGTTTACTGGTAAACTTACACACTATTATACTAATACATACTATTTACAAAAGGGTGAAATTGTTTTAGGAAATCAGTGTGACTGAACAGCCAATTTGTAATTATTTTTCATTATTTTGAGGTTTTTTGAGCTGTAAGTAAAATTGTACAAAATTGTACAAAAAATACATCTCCTCTATTTGCTGCTATATAGGAGAGCAGAATGTTCTTAAGACTCTGATTTTGGCTAAAAAAAGACTTTCCAATTTTGGTTAGAAAAAGAATTCAAACATCTATTCCAGTGTTTCTCAACCTTGACAATTTTAAGGCATGTGGACTTCAACTCCCAGAATTCCACAGCCAGCAATGCTGGCTGTGGAATTCTGGGAATTGAAGTCCACATGCCTTAAAATTGTTAAGGTTGAGAAACACTGATCTATTCCATTAGACAGAAAAGAGTTAGAATTTTCTATATCTCTTCTGCCATCTAAATGGCCTAAATATGGTGTGCTTTCTTAATGACAAATATTTCACACATTAGTCAAATTCTAGCAACAAATATTTTTTATTCTATCCTTAACAGTGGGAAAATTCCCATTTGAATAAATATTAGATTTTCCATTAATCCTCCTCTGGTATTTTATCCTACTGTATTATATCAAACACATTATATTTATCAGGATTTTTTATACAAATGCCTGCTTTATGCAATTCCAATTAAATGTTACTTACAAGTTTACTTTATATATGAATTAGCTACTAGGTTGTCCAAACTAATGAACCTTACCTCCATTAAATTAATCTCCTTTTAATGCTATCTAGGTTAGTAGTGATTATCACATCAGGTTAATTATGCATTATTTGAATATGCATTTCTTTGATTTATTTTAAAAGCTTTTGTGTCAGTCACTCTCTCTCACCCCAATTCACCTCACAGGGTTGTTGGAAAATAGGAGGAGAGGAATATTAGAAATCTTCACTCCCAGTTAGTTATGGAAATAATAAAGGTGGGAAATAAATAAATAAACAAGAAGATTAAAGAACACCAATAAGCTATGTTTATGCCTTTTATTATCAACTATCAAACCAACAGTTAAGAAATACCTTGCAGCTAGCACTTGTTCAAGGAACAGTAAAGGCTTTGGAGAAAAATATTCAGATATCATGATGTGTCTATGTCTATAGAAGTGAGAAATGTGCAGGTAATGGCTTTCCTTGTGATAGTCTAATAAGAAAGAAAGAATGAATAAATGAAAGAAAGAAAGAAAGAAAGAAAGAAAGAAAGAAAGAAAGAAAGAAAACAAATTATCTACATCAGGGGTGTCAAATTCGCAAAGTCACGTGACATGTCGCGACGTATCGTGACTTTTTTTCCATTGCTGGCAATGGAGTGGGCGCAGTTTCGGCATAACGCATCCAGCCCACGGGCTGGCAATTTGACACTCCTGGTCTACATGGATCATAGACAAATTAACCTTGGTTGTCATTTGAAGTGCAAATGAACAGGCTCAAATTATGATATTTTGGATATTTTATACAAAGGCCTAGCAATTTTGAGAAGTCTATAATGTTGTGAAAGACAGAAAAACAGATGAGTAGAAGAAAAGTGTATGGACTCAATTATAGCAGTGATCAATGCACTGCTGGAAAACATAAAGGGCCAGGCAGGAGACAGATCAATGTCAATGTATGGGCTTACTAATTGTCAACATCAACTTTATACCACATAATTAGTCAATCAAATCACTGCAAGTATTTATGGTACATACTTTAATCATTTACCCTCTCGTTCACTTTTTTTCTGTACCTCAAATCTCCAGTTCTTGCTCCAGGTCCTGCCAACCTTGCAGTTTGAAAGCATGCAAATGCAAATAGATAAATAGGTACCACTTTGGTGGGAAGGTAAGAGCATTCCATGTACCTCCATGTAGAGTAATGCTTACAACATGACCATGGAAGTGCCTTTGGACAATGCTGGCTCTCTTGGCTAAGAAATGGAGATGAACACTGCCCCCTAGAGTCAAACATGACTGGATAGGGGAAACCTTTACCTTTACCTTTATCTTTACCTTAGATGTCAGGACACTGATCTGAATAGGTGACCCACTAAAATACTAAAACATCAACATGCTATTCAATAAACTACTAATTTCCTGATGGCAAACAACTAGCTTATTTCAGGAACAGAGATTGCATACCTGCAGAAACACGTGGGCAATCAGGTAGCATGGACTCTACTGATGTATCCAGAGGTTCTGAACTCGATACCCAATTGCAGCAATTCTGAAATTAAAGAGAACTTTGAATAATCAAATACTTAGGGTTTTTTAACCACATTGTAGAAACTTAATCATAGGGATTGTCATGTCAGGACCAAAAAAATAAACTGGACTTGTAAAGTGAGGTTTGAGCTCATACAAGAGTAGAAGTAGCTATACATCTACAAGCATTATTATATTTATGTATAAACCTTCAGGACCAAATTAAGAGCTTTTGCTGTTTTGTAATTACATTAACATCTGAGGCAATTACATCCACAAATATGTCCTCTTACCTGGCAATAAAATTACCATGGCAGTAGCATTAGCAATTATAAGAACTATCTGACAACTTTCTTCTCTTTCATAATTCCCAAGATCAGCTGCGTCAGGTGACTGGCCAATACGGGTAGCTATATAAATTTGATTAATAATAAATAAATAAACGATCCTCCTAAAAGGATTTAATATATTATATATGGAATTAATATGAGACACAACTCAGTCAAATAACATCTAAATGATGGAGAATATCCATTGGATACATCTCACTCAAGTACTATGTCCAGCTTGGGACATCCCACTATTAAAGGGAAGGTATATGAAATGAAACAGATAGAAAGAGGATGAACTAACCATTGGAAGTTAAGTGTGCCAAAAGAGATGGAAAGAATTGGAAATACTTTGTCCTTGAAAAGAAATACTGAGTCTACCATGCTTCAAATATCTTAACAGATGCATTAGTTCAAATAATATATCCTAATTGGATATCTATCTTTTTCTGTACTGACGTAAAATTAGTATTGTTAATCGGGCTAAAACTTTATTAAAGTGCTTCAAGTTGTCTTACATAAAATATAAGAGAGAAAAATGAAATAGATTATGGGAAATAAAATATGAATATTATGGATAATAAATCAGCATGAAATATCTCAATTTTACTAATCTATTAATTGCTTATTTCCTAATTAAATCCTCTTTTACTTTTCAACTTTGGAATTTAAATATCATAGTGTTTTCTTCAAAATTATTACAATTTACTTTTCATAAATAATGACTGTCAAACAAAATAATCCACCAAGCTTTTGTTAAAATAAGAAGACATTTGATTTTATTTTTCTACAATTAAATGCTTATATTAAAATGAGGAATATGAAAGAACTAAATACATGCATCCCAGATAAATGGCTGATGCCAAAAAGCATGTATTGTATATTTTTAAATGTTGCTGCCACAGTTGTGCATCCTCACTATAGAAAGATTCTTGACTGGTAGAGCAAATGTCTTATTATAGTTTCTTAATTCATTCTGTCTGGAAGAAGATATCAGCTGTGTTTAGGTGAGGAGAGAATTTCAAAAGCTGTAGTCTCCTCCAATAATGTAAAAGCCATGAGTTTTGAAAAGATTTGTCAAGGCAATCCTCCTGTTCTGGGACCAGAGAGAGGAGGAAAAACATAAAGAAGAGGTATTGTATGAGATTAGAAACTGCTCACAAGCACCACATATTTCGTAAGAAATGCAAGATCAGTAAAACTACTGAGCTCTGTGCAAAAAAGCCAGGAAAGCATTTAAAAATATAACTATTTGTTATCTTTTTACCTAATTGTGTGATGGTAATATTTCTGTATTTCATAAAGACTTTAAAATGTACATTCAGAGACCTGTTTTTAATTAACACCTGAAAGAAGGAATTGGAATTTTTATGAGGTATTATATGTTTAACATAGATAAAATTAATATTTCTACTGATATAATATTACATCAGAGAATTTTAGAAAACACCAAAGCTTTCAACAAAATTACTTTATACTATATATAATGAGCTATTGGCAATAAGAATTAAGTATCTCAAATGCAGACTGAAGACACAAAAAATGGAAAATTTGTTTTATCAGTCATCATAATGTCTAACAAAACTTTAAAATAGGATTTCTGCTGGCGCTAAAATATGTATGCTGTGATAAAGGTAGATAGATGCAATGAAAAATTGCTATTGTTAACCATTCATTCTTTTGGTAACAGCAATTACCACTGCATGTACAAAGCAACTGAGAAAAAAATGAATTATTATTCAATCTCTCAATCTAAACCTGATATAGTAAAAATATACCCTGGTGGCATGATGTAGTTTAGAAACACATCTAAAATTCATGTAATATAACACTGTTTAGATGAGATTCTTTGAGTACCGTATCCCATCCATATTTTAATTCACTATTTTCTGAAAATAAAATCACAGGTAATGGATTGTCTTATTTAAATATATCTCAATAACAATTAGTTATTAGGTTTAAAATGGGAGATGTACATTTTAATGCTTTGCTCCTCATGGTATATATTCAATGTTCTAAATTTTCATAATATAATATTTCTTTTTCTCAGTAAGCTTTTCAACTTGAATATTTTATTATTGGTATTTACTTGAAATATAAAGAAAGAAAACTTGTAAAACAAAGTAAATGTAAGATTTCTAAGTTGCATTTTCAGAGTAGCATTTATGTATTTAGAAGTTAGAAAAACATTTTAAAGAAATATTTATATCAATTCCCAAATGAATTTATTTTTGTTATTTACTAGAATGTGCCATTCCAATCACAAAAGACTCTTAGTCGCTTATATTTCTTTTTATCCAGTAATATTAAAACTAAACAATATACCAAAGAAGTGAACTAACAGTGGTAAAACAATGAACTATAAAGTTAGTGATCTATAGGAAAGAAGTATGTTGAAGTGGTTTGGTTGTATAAGGAGAATGAATGAGAATTAACCCACAAAACATGCACATGATGGAATAGTAGGTTAAGAAGAAGATGAAGACTATGAAAGTTACCGTTGGATGGAATTGGCACCCTCAAATAAAGTGAGAAATTTAAAGGATGGTTTGCAATGTTAGAAAGAAATGAAAAGATAATGCAAACCAGATTTAAATTAGATTTCCTCTTCTCATCTGCATTTCTTTTCTTAATGATGTCATTTTTTTCTGCACTCCAAATACAACTGACCCAAAACAAAACAGCATTATGGTAAGTATGTATGAATACATAACTTAGATACAATGTTTAGTGAAACTCTTTGATGATCAAAATTGGATTTTAACAATGATCTGTAATTTGTATGAAAAATTTAAGTCCTGCTGGATGAATTGAATAAAGTTCATAGTCTCTTTATAACAATCTTTATATACAAAGGCATTAATGTCCCCATAAGGGAAAATTGTAAAAGCAGGAGGAAGGAGCTGCTCCTAATAATAAGAATTCTAGTTGATCAGTTTGTGCACTTGGTTATCAGAATACAGCCTCACCTCTCGCATCCACTCTCGAACAATTTTATCTGCTTCTTGATGCCACACGTTATGAACTGAATCTGTCAATGCCACTGCAGTAACTTTATTTTTTACTTCTATTTCTCGCTGAATCATCTGTGGAAAATATAAGTCCAAAATTTATTAAAACGTGAACAAACATCCATTGTAAATAGTCAGTGAACTGCTTTTATTGATCTACAGATTCACTAAAAACCCAAAATATTATTCAGTAAAATTAGAAATTATTCAATAACTACTTTCATTTCTGAGTTGCAGAAAACACTATTGATATCCTACCTACTACAATCTTACTGAGCTTTCATTTTAATTTATTCACATCACTTTCTGATCAACATGACTATCTTAGATTCTCAGAATCTTTATGGAATTATTTACTGCCCAAACCTTAATTAAAATATATGTTTACTGCTTCTCATGTTGGAAAACACATAGTTGTGTACAAGATGAAAACAATATTCTATGCATTGTATATTGCTATTAGTTTTGTTTATAAAATACTGTAACTTGGCTTGCGTATAGCACTAAACCACAGTTTATTTTAGATACAGCCTTTTGAGTATGCAAGTCAGAGATATTCCTAACAAATGCAGTTAACTTTATTTTTTTTTTCTTTCCATATCACCCCTGCTTCATTTCACTCCTGGAGATATTTACAAGTGTTTTGTTTTTCAATCACTGTATAATTGGGTCTTTCCCTATGCATTGATTACAAAAGTTGAATAGGGAATTTAAATGCAAATATAGATGTTTGTAATAATAAATTCACTCTATAAGTACGGTAATAAAAGATTGAGTAGACTATTGCGTAATGTAATTGAATATAGTAGCAGCAGTTGCAGAATTTTTTTAAATAAAAAAGTGCAATTGAACTTCTTAAACTTGTATTTATCTTGTCAATAACAAAAATGTATATTTTAATAGATCTTTTAAACAGACAAAAAGAACAAAAAGAGTTAGTGCTTCTCAAGAGTGACGTGTCAATCTCAAATCATGGTTACCATTATGGTGTGCTATCCTTAAATTATGGTTAATGAACTTCCTCATGATGAGATTGATAAAAGAATAAATAAACTACAGGAAGTATGCCCAGCTTGGTTACAACACATCAACTCTATATATCTTTTCAACTGTGACTTATGTATCACCCCCCCCCCCCGCAAATAGTGCAGTACAGAAGGCAAGATTAGAAAGACTCTACAAATATTTAATTTGCAATTTTTTTCTACTAGAAATCACTGAATTTTTCATTTCAGCTAACTTGGCACTTTAATAACTTTACTGACTATATCTACATTTTAAATATCATTTTAAACTACTACTTTTAAGACATGACATTAAAGTATCTATTCACCTGGACAACAATCCCTGTACTTATAAAAAACCTAATTTTATACAATCAGTTTATGTAGTTGATATATTTGTGGTAACTGCCTAATTTAAGAACAGATGTCTGTGGGTTTTATTTTAACTGGGTTTCTTCACTATATAGTAGCACATGAGTCATGTAATAATTTTGTGCAATAATTGTACAGGATTACTAGCTGTTGATCCAGTCAAAGTAAAAGATAGAACACACAAGCATCACAATTCAGAATATAACCACATTTCAAACCAATGGTTTAAGAACTAGACTAGATAAAATGTCTTTCTAACCCAGCACTCTGTTTTAAATATTTATCAGCCTAGTAACCTTGGAAAACTCCTGTAATGGAGATTATGTTGCAGATTATGTTGCACACAAAGTATGCAGGACGAAGGCAAAACTTTTATTACTTAAACAGTAATAGTTTTAAATCTGGTTTTGGTGTAGAGAACCATGCACTATAATTTAAAAATCCAATCCAGTGCTTTTAAGACTTAATTTGACAGCCAAATTTTCTTATTCCTTTTCTTTGTGGTAATGAACATTTGGTACATTTCTGAAGATAAAAAAAGGGAAATACAGCTATTAAGTAAAGTTGTATATGTTATTTTATAACCTGCAGCTTATTAATTCAGCTCTACTTAATTTTATTCTAACTCTCATGACCAGAGGAAATGAAATCATATACCAGTGGAATTAAAAGTAGGTAATATTTTTGAGCTGTTGGGCATAACTGAAAAATTGAAAGTATGTTATAGATATGTAATTTGAAGATGATACACTTTCAAACATATAACTGGAGAATAGTCAATGGACTTTGAAAACAGACAAGTTTGACAATGAACATAGGAGGCTGGGCAAATAGAAGATATAGAAATTTACACTAAATATGAGGATTTAGTGATGCTGTGCCAATTTAGTGTAGTGGTTAAGATGTCAGCTAGAAATTGGGAGATTGTGAATCTAATTCCTGTTGAAAGCATGAAGCCAGCTGGGTGACCCTTGACCAGTCACTCTCAGACCTAGGAAGCAGGCCCTGGCAAACCACTTCCAAACCACTTCCAAAATGTCAAGAAAATTGTAGGGACATGTCCAGACAGTTGTCAGAAGGCAATACTGAATGGTAGCTCCACACACAAACAGGGACTATTCTTATACTATCTCCTAAATCACAGCAGCATATCTTAAGCACCAGAAGACCTGCTAAGCATCCTTCTGAAGTTCCCAAATGCATCTGGTTGGTTACTATTTGGAATAGAATGATGGAGTAGCTAACTCTTGACCAGATCCTGCAAAACTCTTCTCAAATTCTTACAGACGTTTTTTGTAAATGGGGATGCACGATCAATTTTATAGGCAAAGAACTTTATAAACCTGTCAGAGTGTCCTACAGGAGAATATTCACATTCTCTTTCTAGGAAGGAACAAGTAATTCTAAGATGAGCTGTTGGATGCAAATCTGCAGGTGCAATAAAAACCGAGAAGTTAATTTTAATTTTTTTTATTATCCTGGCATATTCCTGTATGTGGGTATGTCACTGTGCTTAGTCACATTCATCCTTTTTCTCCATTGGGAGAATTTCAAAGTAGGAAAAAATTTGGAAGTAATCTTGTCCAAAACTCTTGTTGCCTCCCTATTTCAGAGGTCAACACAGTACATGGCAGAGCTATACTCAAAATTTGTGTTGAGAAATGTTTATGCACTAATATGTCATACAACAGCAGTACTACAAAAACACAATAGGGATATGTAACGTCATTGTAATTTGCATCTGGCTCAAAGTACACACACAACACACACACACACACACACACACACACACAGAGAGAGAGAGAGAGAGAGAGAGAGAGAGAGAGAGAGAGAGAGAGAGAGAGAGAAGTCTCTTATACCTATTTGAACTGAACAAGGTTTCAGAAGTAGGCAAAATGAAGCAAAGTGGCAATGCTTTGAGTCCTAAAAGAGCCAAGGTTGCCTACCCCTGCTCTAGACTGTTGCTTTTTCTTAATTCATGGTCAAAAATTATAGAAAGTATGATAGCTGTTAAGAGGATACCTGTTCACCTTTTGCCTTCAGTCTTCTTTGGCCAAGATCCCAACCTGTTATTCAAATATTACATTCTTCTGCACTGTCTAACTCATTCCCTATCTCTCGCGTGTCTGGCCTCTAAACTTGGCTCTTATTTTCTATACAAATACGGGACTTCTATGACTAATACAAAAACCAAAAGTATTAAGAAAATGGAGTATAAATTTCTTATAATTCTATAGAGTCTGAGATGGATTCATAGAAGGCAATAATAAAATATGTATTCCATAAAGATGAAGATGATTACTATACATTTGGTGAAGACACAGGGAGCATTTGTAAGGTTGATAGAATGAAATGATCATATCACTAATAGGAACCTTGTTGCAAGAAGATCAAATCATGAATATCACCAACATCACTAGAAGTAGAACTCATCACTGATCCTTCTGAGTTGGGTTAAACACGCTAATACAAAGCCTGACAGGCTTAAGTAATGAGCATATGAAGGGCTCTAAATGGTACTTGCAGTATATAGCAGAATCCTAATAAAATCTTGAAATCACAGATGAAAAAGAAAGGCATTGCTTTTAAATGGAAGAAATATTGCAGATAAAATATCTGTAGGAAGGCTTGAAGTTGCTGGTGTCTTTAATATTGACAAGAGCAATAATGGAAACAAGGCAATAATGGAAACAAGAACATATAAACAGGCAGAGAAAGTAAGGTAGGTAAAAGAAGAAGAAGAATAACAAATTTGTTGCGGTAAGAATAGCAAAGGAAGGAAGCAGAAAAACTTTTAAGGACCAAAGGTAAAGCTTAGCCAGTTGAATCCAAAAATTTCCTGATATTGTAGACCTGCTCCAATTCTAGCAATGAAGCCAACAGCAGTAGCTTCATCCAAGGATGAATAAAGCATTGTGGCACAGCCAACTATGCAAACAATTGTTCAGGTATGGCTGAAAGCAAAGGGGATACATAATCCTGGTGAGCACCCTGCCTTGTACTTGGAAGATAATAAAGAATTGGTAAGGGTATCATAAAGTGGTTAAAATAACTGCTTCATATAGAATGTATTACAATAGTTTTGCCTTGAGATTATAAAATAAGTTTGAGGCAAAAAGGATTAGTCTTTTTCATTAGGTGGAGTTAGTGTAAAACAGATTCAATTTAGGAACTTATTATAAAATTACATAAGTAAGTTTTAACATATGAAATACATTTTATTACACTGATGTTCTCTCAGGTATACTTTTCTATATCACTCATTCACGTTGTAACAGAAAATACTTAATAGCAATTTTGTACAAATAAGAAGTTGGTATTATTTACTTTATCTAAATTAGAAACATCTTTCTTTAAGATCAATAAAATCTACTCTCTATAGACAAAAGCTTGCAAATAATACACTTCAGACTTAATAAATGCACTGAGAGATTTCTCTAGACCAGGGATAGGCAACCTCGGCTCTTTTAGGACTCATGGACTTCAACTCCCAGAATTCCTGAGTCAGCTGCTGACTCAGGAATTCTGGGAGTTGAAGTCCATGAGTCCTAAAAGAGCCAAGGTTGCCTACCCCTGCTCTAGACTGTTGCTTTTTCTTAATTCACGGTTTAAAATTATAGAAAGTATGATAGCTGTTAAGAGGATACCTGTTCACCTTTTGCCTTCAGTCTTCTTTGGCCAAGATCCCAACCTGTTATT